CCCCCCCCCCCCCCCCGCCACGTCCTACCGGCCAGGCGGTGCCTGTGTGGCCTGCAGAGGAGAGCTGCTGCCCCCACCCTGCCCTGGGAGGCAGTGGCACGGGGTGGTGGATGGTGGCACTCTGTCCCCACCCACTTACGTGTACCCTCTAGCCCCTTTCCAAGTACCCCTGGGGGTATGTATACTGCCAGTTAACAACCCCTTTCAGGCACTGTCCTAATGCATGTGTCCTGTGTGCTTCTCCCAGCAGGGCCTCAGGTGATGGGGCTGAGACCTGGGCCAGAAACTCTGAGAATCTGGCTCTGAACTCCACTGAGTAGGGAACATTAGCCTGGCACAGGGACCTGCCCCTCCTTCATGCCCAGCGCTTGGGGTTTTGGAAGGAAGACCTGGTTTACTTGAGGGCACACAAGTGCCAAGTCCGGGTCTGCTCTGAGGTCCATCCCAATAGAAGGAATAGCAGTGTTTGCCCCTCGCCACAGGGCAGGGACCAATCTGGGGTTTGTCTTCTCCACACAGGAGGTGCCTGGCTGCTGAGCAGAGCTGAGAAGCCACATCAATGCTTCGAGTGTGGGGAGAGCTTCACCTTCTCCTCTGGTTTGATCCAGCTCCAGTGCATCCACATGGTGAAGAAGCCATGTCAGTGCTTAGTATGCGGGAAGAGCTACACCGAATCCTCCCACTTGTGTCAGTGCACTGCTGCTGGGCCAAGGGAAAAGGCACATCGGTGCTCGAAGTGTGGGAAGAGCTTCGCCCAGTCCTCCACCCTGGCCAAGCACAAGTGCATTCACACACGGAAGAAGGCATATCAGTGCTCAGAGTGTGGAAAGAGCTTTACCTTCTCTTCCAGTCTGGCCCAACACCAGCTCATCCACACTGGAGTGAAGCCATATCATTGCTTGCAGTGTGGAAAGAGATTCACTCAGTCCTCTCACCTGGCCCAGCACCAGCTCATCCACACCGGAGTGAAGCCATATCATTGCTTGCAGTGTGGAAAGAGATTCACTCACCCCCGCGCCCCACCCCAACCCCTCCCCACAGGGAAAAAGCCATATTGGTGCTCGGAGTGTGGGAAGAGCTTCACTCGCTCCTCCCACTTGATCCGGCACCAGACTGTCCACACAAGGGAGAAGCCACATCGGTGTTCAGAGTGTGGAAAGAGTTTCACCCGCTCCTCCAACCTGATCCGGCACCAGATTGTCCACACAGGTGAGAAGCCACATGGGTGCTCAGAGTGTGGGAAGAGCTTCGCCCAGTCCTCCACCCTGGCCAAGCACAAGTGCATTCACACACAGAAGGCACATCGGTGCTCAGAGTGTGGAAAGAGCTTTACCTTCTCTTCCAATCTGGCCCAGCACCAGCTCATCCACACCGGAGTGAAGCCATATCATTGCTTGCAGTGTGGAAAGAGATTCACTCAGTCCTCTCACCTGGCCCAGCACCAGCTCATCCACACAGGGAAGAAGCCATATTGGTGCTCGGAGTGTGGGAGGAGCTTCACCCGCTCCTCCCACTTGATCCGGCACCAGATTGTCCACACAAGGGAGAAGCCACATCGGTGTTCAGAGTGTGGGAAGAGCTTCACCCGCTCCTCCCACCTGATCCAGCACCAGCTCATCCACAAAAGAGAGCAGCCACATCGGTGCTCAGAGTGTGGGAAGAGCTTCACCCGCTCCTCCCACCTGATCCGGCACCGGCTCATCCACACAGGTGAGAAGCCACATCGGTGTTTGAAGTGTGGGAAGAGCTTCATTCGCTCCTCCGAACTGGTCCGACACTATCGCATCCACACAGGGGAGAAGCCGCACCAGTGCTCTGTGTGTGGGAAGTGCTTCACCTGCTCATCTTACCTGGCCCAGCACCGGCTCATCCACACAAGGGAGAAGCCACATCAGTGCTCAGAGTGTGGGAAGAGCTTCATCCGCTTCTGCCGCTTGATCCAGCACCAGACCATCCACACAGGGAAGAAGCCACACTAGTGCTCAGAGTTTGGGAAGAGCTTCACCTAGTCCTCCAACCTGACCCAGCATCAGTTCATTTGCACCCAAAAGCATCCATAATTCTCACAGCAATGCATGAAGGGCTTGGGGATGTCCACCTGCTCAGTACCCGCCAGTGGCTGCATTCAGGCAAGCAGCCTTGTGCTGGTAGACTGCAGCAAGGCTTCACCCAGCCTTTGGTCCTTCTAAGGTCCTTCAAAACCCAAAGGAACCAGAGGCTGGCCCCCAAGTTTTGATACAGGGAGGGGTTAAGAGGAAGCACCTCAGGGAGAGGCCAGCTCAGATACTGGAGGAATCTGTGTGGGACCTCTTTGCATCAGCCTCAGAGCCTGTGTCTTCACCATCATTCTCTAAAAGCAGTCAATGCTTCAAGGGGAAGAAGGGCCTTTACAATAGGGTGCCCTTCCCAAGACAACTGGCTCCAAATAACACCCAGGGACTGTCCTTGGCCAGCTCCCACCTTCCTCGTCCCTCCTGGCCCCAGGGTTCTGGTCTGTGACGCTTTTCAGTTGCAGGAAGAAGGACGTTTGTGGGTGGGGAAGCATTTCCTGCTCTCCACCCGGACCTCGCCTTTCCTCCCCAGCACATCACCTCAACTCCGGGCCTGCACGTGCCAATCGTGGTCTGCCACCCCCTGAGTCCAGTTTGGTAGGTATTGCTTCTCATCCCCTCTTCTGAACTCTTCACCACCAGGTGCCAGCTGTCCCTCCTTCCCTTCATCCCATTCTCTGTAATGGATTCCTTGCTAATCAAGCCCCCAGAGCTGAACGCGGTATCCCTATGGTTGATCTCTGTCCTCTCTGGAGGTGTGAGATGGGAACGGACCGAGGCCCAGAACCTTTCGAGGGCAGATCTTTCTGGGATTTTCCAATGCCTCCCCTTTCCAGAGCATTCACCACAACCCAGGGGTGGTTGTTAGCCCTCAGGTGCAGGAGGTGCCATGTCCTGCTGTGTAGCAAGGTCCTGCCCTCTTCATAGTCAGAACATGAAGGTTGGAAGGGATGTTAGGAGGTCACATCTAGTCCAACCCCCTGCTCAAAGCAGGACTGTTCCCAACTAAATCATCCCAGCCAAGGCTTTGCCTAGCTGGGTCTTCAAGACCTCCATGGATAGAGACTCCATCACCTCTCTGGGTCACCTGTACCAGTGCTTTACAACCCTCCTTGTGAGAGTTTTTTTGTAATATCTAACCTCAACTTCCCTTGCTGCAGCTTGAGCCCTTTGCTGCTTTTTCTGTCACCTGCCACCACTGAGAACAGCCCCGCTTCAGCCCCAGAAACCCACTTTTGAAGGAGTCTCTTGTCAGGGGCAGGAGAGTCTCACTTGTGGGTGAAATTGTGTAGCAGGGGTGAAAGAGATGCAGCCTGGGACAAGTCCTGCTTCTTCTGTGAAATGATGGGGAAAGGACGTGGGCATCCCATGTGTGAAATGCAGTACGTTGTAATGAGCATCAACAAGTGGACTTTGGCTGCATTGCCACAACAAGGATCAGGCCCCTCGTAGCTCCCACACTGTCCATCCCTGACATGCCAACATCTTACAAGTTGAGGTTGTGGGTGTTTTTGGTATTCTGCCCGAAAAGGTTGCTGACTCCTAACCAAAAGCATAGATTTCCACCAAATTAGAATGAGCAATAGATGATCTACATCCAGGTAACGCGGGGTGTCTGCAGGACATGCTTGGAAATCTGGTGGTCACACCAGATGACAAAGCTAACCTATTTAACAGTTTCTTTGCCTCCATTTTTCTGATCAGGGACCAGGTCATTCCCCCCCCGGATCCCCGATGGTCACAGGGGAGGTGCAGCCAGGCCCAGGGGCAGTGAGGACCTAGTCAGGGAACTTCTGGAGGGACTGGACGTGTTCAAATCAGCAGGTCCAGATGATCTCCACCCCAGATTGCTGAGGGAATTAGCAGAGGTCATTGCGGGACCCCTGGCACAGCTTTATGAGCACTCGTGGTGCTCTGGTGTGGTGCCAGAGGACTGGAAAAGGGCCAATGTGGTCCCCATTTTCAAAAAAGGATGGAAGGAGGACCCAGGAAATTATAGGCCTGTTAGTCTTACCTCGGTCCTGGGGAAGCTCTTTGAGAAAATTATCCAGGTGCACATCTGCAAGGGGCAAGCAGGGGAGGTTATGCTTAGGGCAACCAACATGGGTTCATTAGAGGCAGGTCCTGTCAGACCAACCTGGTGGCCTTCTGTGACCAGGGCACAAAATCCTTGGACGCAGGGGTAGCAGTGGACGTAGTCTTTCTGGACTTTAGGAAGGCCTTCGATACTGTCTTTCACCCCATTCTCATTAAAAAATTAAGAGATTGTGGTGTCGATGCCTACACAGATGGGTCACAGAGGGCCGCACCCAGAGAGTGGTGGTGGATGGGTCATTTTCGACCTGGAGGGATGTGGGCAGTGGGGTCCCCCAGGGCTCAGTCCTCGGACCCGCACTGTTCAACATCTTCATCATCAACTTGGATGAGGGGGTGAAAAGCACCTTGTTCAAGTTCATGGATGACACTAAGATGTGGGGGGATGTGGGCACACTAGAGGAGAAGGACAGGCTGCAATCGGACCTAGGCTGGTTACAGGGGTGGGCGGATGAGAACAGGATGGGTTTCAACACTGACAAGTACAGGGTGCTGCCTCTGGGGAAGAAGACCCAGCAGCAGACCTACAGGCTGGGGAGCTCCCTTCTCATCAGTGCAGAGGCAGAAAAGGATCTTGGAGTCATTATAGACTCCAAGATGAACACGGGCTGCCAATGTGAGGATGTGGTCAGGAAGGCTAACTGCACCTTGTCATGCATCCACAGATGCATCTCGAGCAGGTCCAAGAAGGTGATCCTCCCCCTCGATGCAACACTGGTCAGGCCGCAGCTGGAGTACTGCATCCAGTTCTGGGCGCCGCACTTCAGGAGGGATGTGGCCAATATGGAGAGGGTCCAGGGGAGGGCCACCCACATGATCAGGGGGCAGCAGGGCAGGCCCTACGAGGAGAGGCTATGGGACCTGAACCTGTTCAGCCTCCACAAGAGAAGGCTGAGAGGGGATCTAGTGGCCATCTACAAATTGGCCAAGGGGGACCAGCAGGCTATGGGAGAGTCCTTGTTCCCGCAAGCACTACCGGGAGTAACAAGGAATAACGGCCATAAGCTGACTGAGAGTAGATTCAGACTAGACATCAGGCGGCGCTACTTCACCGTCAGGGCGGCTAGGAGCTGGAACCAACTTCCAAGGGAGGTGGTGCTCACTCCTACCCTGGGGGTCATCAAAAAGAGGCTAGATAATCACCTTGCCGGGGTCATTTGACCCCAGTACTCTTTCCTGCCCATGGCAGGGGATCAGATTGATGATCTGCTTGGGTGTCTTCTGGCCCAACCAACTATGAAACTAAGAAACCAGCTTTGGTTTTGAGAAGCTTCTGTCTGTGTTACATGGTTACTCATGAGGTTTGAACCAATTCCCAAACAGAAGTTGTCATTTTCTCCAGTTAAGCATATGATCCAGGAAAAAAGGGGTTGTGGATTGCAGCTATGAACATTGCTCTTGTGTCATGATGACTTTTTCTAAGCTTTGGTATTTGAACCAGGGTTTTTATAGCTTACAGAGAAATTGGAATGTGACTTGGGGAGAAATAAAAATAATCACAAAGAAGAAAACTGCACATTCAGATGAATGTTATTTTTTAAATGGCAAACTAAGATCAAGGTCTTCTTGTCTCCTTTTGCCTGTCATTTAGCAAACTGGCACTTAACAGGTAGATATAATGGAAAGCTGGGATTTTCAGTGCCAAGACAACACAAGCCCTGTATTAATTAAATGTGTGCATGTTACTACACTTATGAATGTGAGTTTGCTACTTTCCTGCATCCTGATGTAAGGCTAGGGACCTAGTTTGTACTTTAGGCAACCCTGCGGCCAGCAGGTAAAGGAGGATAGCATGCCAGATGAAAGATTAGTGTCATGCAGAGAAATCTAGCGTGACGTGGAAAATACCTGGGTGCCGAGTGAGATGTTACCTATGTGAGTGCCCTGTGCAAGAGTAAGTGTGGTGTGCAGAGGGAGTATAAAGAAACTTTTCCCTTTGGGGAGAGAGCGTTTGAGAGTATCTGAGTACGGTTTGAGAGTGCCTGGGAGGTGGTAGATCAAGTGGATCTCTGTTTGGGAGAGTGCTTAGGAGGTAGATTCGAGTGTGTTTGAGCCTGAAAGGTGGAGCCTGTGGGCAGAGAAATGAAAGGATACTTACCTGAAGCCAAAGTCTCCCACCACCGATAAAGAGTAGATCGATGTCACTAGCTTACGTCCCAACTACAGAGAGGGAAAGTGCATGAGAGTCATCCTGGTTGTTTGTCCCTGTAAGTCCCAGTAGCACGCCGCCGCAGTCCCCATAGGTAACTATCACCCCTCTTCCCTGTGTTTTACGTCTGTGCGTCCCAGTGTGTTACATTGTGTTGTACATAGTAGGTAATTCAATTATATGTACGTATTTAATATCATGTAGTGTTCATTTAGCATACGGTATTGGTATTTATATTAATTGGTTGTTAGATCTTAAATAAACCATTTGATTCATGTACTCTTAAATAGTCCATTTAGGAAGGGTCCAAGTATCTGGTTGACAGATACCAGAGCCCAGGGCCTCTCTCCAGCTCTTCCCTGCCCGTTGTTCCTGTAGTGGCCAACATCAAACGTGAAGGTTTTTGTGGTTTTGGCCGCTAACACTGATAACAGGCAAATAGGCTTAAGTTCACTTCTGATGATCATTGGAGTTGCAGTGATGATGAGATTTGTTTAGGGCTACTTTCACAAATGCTGGATGAAGCAACACCTGAAGCTTATTCCTAGTGCTCCCGTAATAGAAATCTTTTTAGGAACTCCTTCTGGTATTCAGTTGTCCATCATTTCTGCTACATGCTTTGGTTTACAGCCCTGTTCACCGAAGCTGAGATGAAGTCAAATCTTCAGCTGATGTGAACTGATGTAGTTCTTTTGATTCAAGCTGAGAGAAATCTTTGGCCTG